GTAAGATTTTAGAAGAAGACACTCAGTTTGAAAACATATTTTTCTCCTATTCTTTTCCACATCAAGCATCCGAGCATATCCTGGAATGGATTCTCCTAATTGACTTGCTTCATTATCCAACCTAATTTTGGCACTATCCTTTGCTAATCTAATTTATCAAGTTACCACTCCAATCCACAGTAACACAAGAGAAGAAAATTGCAAAAGCAAATGCTTTCTTATCAATATTTTAGCCAAATTGAAAACCTCATTATATTGAAGAAGACGGACTCCACAAACAGACAAAGAACAAGACAAAATATAGCAATCAAAGTAGAAGAATGTCTGCATCACCACCATTACTATAATGAAAAGCACCATCAAAACGGAAGTGACTTACGAGAAAACTGAACCCGGTGACGCCCCCCAAGGAGATGGCGATGGCGGTGCTAGAAAGGGCAAGCTCGCCAAGGTGACCCACCATCATGGTGGCTATCATTTGCAGCATGTACTGCGACAGGGTCACGGCCACCATGGGTCCGGCGAGGTAACCCAGCCTCTTCACTTCTTGAATGAACACGCTTCTTACTGACGACGAATAACCTTCACTCTGTTTCGGTAACAGACTCTGCTCCATGTTCTTCTCTGGATCTCCCATGGCGGTTGCAGCCGACTCTCTCACTTCCTCTGGTTCTTTCGCAGCAGAGAAATAGAGAGAGATTAGCGTTTCCTGGCGTTAGTTGTAAATTGGTCCGTAGTTATTATATACAATACATTCCAGGAATAATTGAAGACGGAATTCTCCACATTAATGATTATTTACCTTGTTGTATCAAGTGGTAAGCGCCTTATTTCAGTTTAAGTAAGGTCTCGAATTCGAGTACTTGTGTATGCAGCAGCCTCGTTAAGAGACTCACCCATCATTTCTAGGTGCACGACGCGGGTCGAGTCCGAATTAATCGGGGCGAAGTCTCGAATACCAGGCGGAAACCAAATAAAAAAAATGATTATTGACCAAAAAAAAAAAAGAAAAGAAAAACATTTGGCACCACAAATGGAATCCTGCAATCCATGTCTTGTATGTCACGCTCATGCGTATGTCCAAAAGCTCATGGAAATTTACGTAAAAACATGTTTTTTTGGCCGTGGGAAAAACTTACAAGTTGCAATCCAAATTCTGACGCCCTGAATCCACAGGAACTTTTGAGCTCTAATAGTTGGCCTTAATCCACAAAGCACAAAGTGCACATTAGGGTCTTAATTTTGCAGTTGAACACCATTGAAATTGTAAAACCGTGAGCTCTAATACTTATATTAAAAAATTATTTTATAATTTAAATTATATTAAATTATAAAACTTAAATTATTAATATAATATAATGACTTTAACTATTAAGAGTTTGAAACTCTAATTGGTGTCAAGTTCAAATCTTGCGTAAATTAAAAAGAATTTAAAAATAAAAAAAAAATCACTTCTCTTGTAAAATCTATAATTAAATATATCAAATATATATATATATATATAAATTATTAAATGAAAAGCCCACTGTCGTGGTGTTCCAATCGCAAATTATACACCAATCACTTGTAGACTTATATATGGATAGATGAGCTCTTCCCCGTCGCTTAGGAATCAAAATTGGTTTTTTCCACTGTTTTTTTTTTTTTTTTTATCGTACACCGCAACCACATGCATGTCTGTAGATATTGGTGGGAACCACAAATCCAATAATTTTTCTACAACGTTCACAAATGTTTTGTCACGTTCTTCGTTAGCATCTAGACCCAAATCAAAATTAATTTTTAGTCATTACAGTCATTATGAGAAATTTCCTGTGGTCCACTCCAGAGGTCTTGTTTCATCCTCTGTCCTCATTTACCAAACAGAACCAGAAGGAATGGAAGGAGGTGGAAAACCAGGCCTGGAATCTGCTCTAATTCCTGAAAAACATCAAAGGGATCATGAGTTATATGGAGAAATTTGCCAACAAGGTTGCTGTTGTAGAGCAGATGTAATTGAGGAAGTAAAGAAGCAACTATGGCTGGCAGGACCACTTATAGCAGTCAGCATGTTGCAGTATTGCTTACAAGTGATATCGATAATGTTTGTTGGGCATACCGGGGAACTGCCTCTTGCCAGTGCTTCCATGGCCTCATCCTTTGCATCAGTAACTGGTTTTAGTATTCTGGTAAGCAGGGAATTTCTCTTGGAAATTAGTGCATTTAGTGCACCTAGGCCATTACAACAATATGGTATAAGGTCTATAAGATTAGTGTATGAGTTTTCTGTCATAACAGGCATGATCTCCTTAATAGTCTCTTGGAAAGTCACAATTCACTTCATTTTCTGACATTTCTGATTCTTTTCTGTAATAAAACGTCTGATCTTGTAGCTGGGGATGGGAAGTGCGTTGGAAACACTATGCGGAAAAGCCTATGGAGCCAAACAGTACAACATGCTAGGCATCTATACACAGCGTGCGATGCTAACTCTTCTAGCCTTAAGCATTCCCCTTGCAATCATCTGGTTTTTCACCAGCACAATTCTCATTTCTTTCGGCCAAGATCATGAAATATCAATACTAGCAGGAGTGTACAATTGCTGGATGATTCCAAGCCTTTTTGCCTATGGCCTACTTCAGTGTCTTAACAGATTTTTGCAGACTCAAAATAATGTTTTCCCTATGATGTTTTGTTCTGGAATCACAGCACTTCTACACATTCTCTTTTGTTGGGCATTTGTATTTGAATTTGGACTTGGCATCAAAGGAGCTGCCTTGGCCATTTCCATTTCAAATTGGTTTAATGTCTTGTTCCTAGCAATTTACATTAAGTTCTCTCCATCTTGCAAGAATACATGGAGAGGGTTTACAAGGGAAGCTTTCCATGATTTGGTTAGCTTCATAAAACTTGCCATTCCTTCTGCAATTATGATATGGTATGGTGCATCTTGAAAAAAACCCTTGATGCTAGTTAGCCATGAATCACATTGATGATTCTTAAATCTTAATGCTTTGATTGTTTTTCGGAATTCAGCTTTGAATATTGGTCATTTGAAATGGTGGTCCTCCTCTCTGGCCTTCTTCCAAATCCAAAATTGGAAACATCTATTCTATCAATAAGGTAATTTCCTGTCAATGAGGTCTTGGTCCATTAGCTAACTGAATGAATACCTTTTACTTATTATTGTCATATTTTAACAGCCTTAACACATGCTGGATGGTCTACATGATCTCTGTTGGTCTTGGTGGTGCTATAAGGTGAGGATGATCAGCCACAAAAAACGCCTTTATTTCTCACATCACATTCAACTTCCCATTCCTTCCAATCCCTTTTTTTTTTTTCTTTTACCAGTACAAGAGTGTCAAATGAACTGGGAGCTGGGCATTCAAAGGGTGCCCTGTTGGCTCTTAGAGTCATGATAGCCATTGCCATTTCAGAGGGTGCTGTAGTTGGAATTACTACAATCTTGGTACGCCAGGTCTGGGGAATGCTCTATAGCAATGAGCAAGAAGTGATAAGATACGTAGCAAAAATTATGCCCCTTCTCGCACTCTCAGATTTCTTGGATGGCTTCCAGTGTGTGCTATCAGGTACCAGAAACCAAGTAGCGTCTAATCCCCTCATTCCGGTTTTCCTTGCTTACTATGAGTATTCCAGGGGCTGCAAGAGGATGTGGATGGCAAAATGTATGTGCTTGGATCAACCTTGCGGCTTATTATGTAGTGGGGATTCCTTCTGCTGTGCTATTTGCTTTTGTGTTCCATATTGGAGGCATGGTGAGTATCCTCTTTTACCATTTTATGTCTGGGCATATACGGTTATTTATTGAATTATTGCAAGCAGGGGCTTTGGATGGGAATCATTTGTGGACTGTCTGTGCAAGTTATAGCACTTGTTACCTTAAATTCCTGCACTAACTGGGATAAAGAGGTACATCTCTCTCTGTCTCTCTCTCTCTGCACTTCAAAGGCAAAATTCTATGACTAAAACCATATGAGCATGTTTGGAGGGGACGGATAAAACATGAGATAGGACACAAATTTTGTGTCTCTCTCTCTCACTCTTTCTGCACTATTAAGGCAAAATTCTATGACTAAAACCATATGAGCGCATTTGGAGAGGACGGATAAAACATAGGATAGGACACAAATTTTGTCCTATTCCATTGTATCCCACATTTGGGATGCTTAGAGGATGGGATACACTGTATCCTATGTCTTATCTATCAAATCCCATTGTCCTTTTATAAAAAATATTCATCATCCCATAGAATTAAATAAGGTAAGAATATCTTTTTTTTTTCCTACCTCTCATCATTTAAAAAAAAAAATTTTTTTTGATTAAAAATACAAAATTTTGATTTGATTGAAAATAAATATGAACTTTGTTGTTTGATTACCGAGAAAACAAAAGAGAAAGTGATGATTCATTTCATTGTAACTCTCTTCTTCAAAAAGATAAACGGATCAAGTTGACTCAAAAATAAGTAAAGGGGGCTTTTTGGGTTTTTACTCTCTTTTTTTTTTTGTTCTTTTTTTTAAAAATTATTGGGCTTGGGTTTCCAAAAACAAAAAACAAAAATATTTCATTGATAAATCAAATGTGAGACGGCATAGAAATGATTTTGTTTGATTAATTAATGAAAATTAATTTGCTTGATAAATTAAATTATTGTTTGAATTATTTTAAATTAATTTGATTAGCTTTTACTATTTATAAAAAATAAAATAGTAATTTAAAAGCTTTAACAAAATATTATTTGTTTGTATTACAAGGGCATTTTTGTCCAAAAAATATACATTTATATCTAATTCTACAGCACTCCAAACATAGTATTAGAGATCATATAATTTAATACTGCCCAATTCAATCCAATCCTATCATCTTTATCTAATCTAATCTTGTCGTCTCTAGATAGTCCAATCCTATCTTATCCTGCATTCCAAACTTATCATATGTGTCCTGTTTCTTTTACTTCTATTGCTCATTAACAGGCTGAAAAAGCTATGCAGAGGGATCAAGATGAGTGACGTACATTGCATCTGAAGAAAGCAAAACTTCATAAAATCATGAACAAATGAAGAACTCAAGCAGACAACCAGGAAAAAAGAGTACAATCAAATGTCTAGGGTCCAAAGAACCACAGTTGTTATCGAAAAAATGGGTTATTGAACCACTTTGTCTTGATTTTCATTTTTAATGTATTAACAGCATGCCCAGCATGCCACTCAACTTCACCAAAAAGTTGCATCGTAGAATCATCTTTAATAAAATGCTCAACTATTGTGAAGAAATCTTGAAGGCTGTATGACTGTAAGCAACTTGGGCTATCTAACTTTGCTAATTAGACAGGATATCAGTACATACTTTATCAGGAGAGGCAGGAGGCTCTTCTTCATTGAGAGCAGTTTCAGTGGTCTGATCAGGCACGAGAGGGGACTGTTCTCCAGACTCGTTGTTTCCAGGATGAAAATTGATTGGGAACTTTGTTACTCTAGGCTTGTCAGCCAGTATATTTCTTTGAATCCTATCAATCGGGACTCTCGGAGGAGGCTCCTCTCTCAGCTGCTCGTCGTCATAGTCATTGTTCACATAGTACCCCACTCGGACAAATTCTTGTCCCATATATGAGCATGTTAATAGCAGAACCGTAACACCAATGATATCCTCTTCCTGTATTTTTGATGAATCCGGAGGGTCAGCCTACCAGGAACGCAACAAAAGGCAATTCGAAACAAGTTCCATAATCAGATCTATGAAATAAGTTATGTCATCCTCAAAACTAATTTAAGGACTTGGAATAAGGGTAAAGAATCACCTCAAGAACAAAACGGTAACTGCCAATATTAACAGGGCCAACAAGCACGCTTTCGAGCACCTGGTCGTGAGTCTCATCCTCAGCAGATCCCACATAAACCAGCTTCCATTCTAAATCTGCTCAACAAGAAGAGTTAGGAAAAGAAGCTAAAGGGAATTTTGGAAACATAATTCATAACACAAACAATTGAATCTGAAAATGTAAACAAACCAGAATGGTATGAACATCTAAATTTCAATAAACTGGAAACAGATCCTACATAAATTAAAATGAAATTAATCAAAAGAATTATGTACAGAAATGAAGAAACCCTAAAATGGAACTTTTAGATGCAAATCGGATTTCAGTTTAGAAGAAAGCAGGCGTTGGTCTCAATCAATCCAGAGAAATAGTGGAATGGAATAGATTTGCTACCGTCTTTGAGGGGAGTCAAGCACTCGTAAGAGATTTCGAACTGGAAAGGGTTGAGAAACGAGGAGGGGTTTCCCAACACGGTGACGTTGGTTATGTTGACGGCGCTCATGGTCTACAACTGGAATTCCGAACGCGGCGACGGAGAGAACGATGCAGTACTTTTCACCGGATTAGATATTCCGGCGAGGACTACAGGAGTTTGGATACAGGACCGGCGAGAATGGAGAAGAGGAAGTAAATCTAAAGGAAGAAGAAAGGGGGCGTAGGATTCAGCGAATTTGAATGGTCTCAAACAGCACGTATTACATGATGCGGGTTGGAGTGATCCGACCCGAGTGATTTGCCGCTTTAGAAAGGGGAGTGGAGGGAAAGAAGATTGAAATTTGGCGGGAGTGAATTTTCGAGATTTTGCTTTTGTAGAAGTATGTAACGGGCCAAGGCCCAAGGTTACTCGCAGCAGGCACGGGCCCATAATTCTGTGAATCAAACTGTCAAGGATATATTTGGCACCCGTTGGAGTGACCATTTCTGCTACAAATTTTTTCTTTTTATATATGAAAATGTGATTCATTAGTAGTAAGGGTTATATGTAACTCAACAAGGCACTACAACAGTAAATTAATAATATTGTAGCAAGCAATTTCCATAAGAAAATGAGGAGATTTCAAGTATATATGCAATCGATAATGATTGAGTTACAATATTTTTTTTTATGATGTTTTGTTTAACTTTAATGTGACATGATATCAAATAAGTAGATATATTTTAATTCACGAGTCTCATTGAATATAAAGAATCAAACATTCAATTACTCATCTAATACTAATTAAGGGTGGACCTACTTGGAGGGATTAGGCATAGGCCTTACCCCTCTCCCAAAAGGTGTTTATAATTTCAAAATTGTGTAATAGGCCTTACGTATTAAAATAAAAATAATAGACAATGTTTTTTTAATTTTAGACTTTATTACTTAAAAAATATAATATGTCCTATTCAATAATTGATCTTGATTTCATTTTATCTAATGTCACATCAAGTTGTACAAAACAAATGATACACATTGTAGTCAAATCTTTAGCATATCAAGATGCAAAAAAGCCAAATCTTTTTTTTTTTTTTTTGAACTAGTACAATCGAAGAGATTAGAAATAGAAATTGTAAGGCTTGAATTTTACTTTTAAGTGTCAATACTCTTCTCAAAAGAATTGTAATTATTGGGTTACAATAATAATTGATGCGGAAGAGCCAAATCTAATTTCACTTATAATGTGGAAACAAATATTAAACCACGGGTATAAAGGTGCCGGGACACATCCGGTACAAAAAGCAGGGCCCCTTGTATTCCCTTACATCGTAGTTTTGTACAAAAAAAATTGTTGCCGGTTCCCAAAAGTTCTAAACTGGTCAAAGAACCGTCTATAAATCACTTGAAACTTATACAAACGTAGCTTAGCTGTTTTGATATCAACTAACTTCAAAATCTTGGTTTTGGAATCAAGGCAAGGGTTCAAACTTCTGCAATAACCATTAACTAAGCATTATCAATAACTTCTACGATACCTTTCTTTGCATTATAAAGAGAATCATTTCAAACTTTCATGATACCTTGTCAGTTTATTGGCTGCCCCATCTGCTATAACATTATCAACCATCTCATACTTTTTATGATTTGCTTTGAGAGCCTCTCCTTGCTGCTTTGCAAGTTTCTCTTCTTGGATCAGTTGTTGCTGCATATAAGAAAATTCCCATTCCCAACATGTTCAGTGCGAGAGAATATGGATACTTACCTTAAAAGGAAATGGAACAGCTACAGAAAAAGTAAACAAACTTGCCTCAAGCGCAAAGGCAGATTCAGCAGTATGTTTTTGCACAAGTTGCTTAAGTTTCTTTGCAACCTCAAAATCAGGATCATTAGTGCTCAACCAACGACAATGTATATTTAGACCAGGCCTTTTTGAGCGATCATCAAACATCTCCTTGTCAGCAGCTCTAGCCCTCACTGGCCTCGGTATCCCAGAAATAATAAAAGGGAATTGAGTCATTACAGATATTACTGCTTTAGCTTCCTTTGGTTCCTTCATCTCCACCAAAGCACATTGTGGGAGGTTGTTTGGTCCCATATAGTTTCGAATGAACTGAACACCTTTGACAGTTCCAAACTGTTCAAGGACCTTTCTCAGAACGGCTTCAGTTACATGCGGTGAGAGGCTGTCCACATAAACTGTCCGTCTCACCTTCTCTTGAAATACAGCATACTCCATGGAATGAATGCAAGGTAGAAATGCTGACCTAGTTTAAGGAAAAGAAAACTGAATAGAATTTCATATAGACAAGTGAACTAGTTCAATTTGGTTTGATCATTTTCATCATGCAAACGGTAGTGAACTAGGTTAGAAAATAGAAGTAGTAATGTTTTTCAGGCAAACCTTACTCATGTCTCAGTTTAAATCTCCTCCTAATGTCCATTGTTCAATAATAGCAAAAGGAATTGCAACTGCAAATGATGAAATTAAAAACAATATTTGCAAGATAACATATTCAACCATTGACTACCATATAATTTGTAAGTAATTCTAAGTAAGAAATAAGAATGTTCTTATAATAAATTGCATAACTTTGTTTTCATTTTCAAAGCAGCTTCAAGCAACTTTACGCAGCCCATTTAAGCTTCCCCTTCAATTTGCAGGAAAGAAAATATTGCCAGGAGGACCATACAAACTGCAAAGAGAATACCCCTTTTCTTTTGCTTTTATAACCAACATCCATGGTGCTAGAAGAGCAAGAGAAACGTTCACTTCCTCCCTATCTTCAAGTTCAAATCTCGGTTAGTGTCATTTGCCAGAAACACAATTGGTGGGGTAGAAGACCTTCAGTTCAAAAAATCTAATGAAAAGGGGTATTATTCAACCTGATAAACAGCCTAAGCAAACCAAGAGCAGCACTCAAAAGATAATTAGCAACATGTTGACATGTGACAGAATGAATGGCAACCGAAAGAATAGAGGCTTCAGGCACAAGCAAAAGGTCTGCTGCAGTAACTTTACAAATTCACCAAATTGCAAGATTGAATCTTTGGGTGGTGGGTATATGGATACGTCTGAGGAAGATTAAAGAATTTGAGATAAGTAGAACATAAAAATCTAATGACAGATTCATTTGATATCTGAAACAGAATGCCATTGGCAACCCAACTGTTCGAATATTTAAACCAAAGTATACCCTGAATTCCGCCTCCCATTCACAGTTTATCAAACGTCAAACTTCTTCAACCACAAAGAAATACATTTCAAAAGGAATTACGAAAATGGAGTCACTTTCAGAAGGAGTTCTTACATTATTACTTTTCCAGCCGAACTCTGGCACAATAATCAGAGAATTGATGAGTATAAATTCTCCAGGACTGGAGGGAAGAGAGCATCCGTGGTATTGTTGGATTTTCTCAGCAACCAAACAGTAAATTCACTTCTGAATTTGAAATTGAGGGAAAAATAGCATAAAGCTAGAAAACCAACAGAAAATTTCACTCAGATTATGACGCGCGTAAGAGAAAACGATATCGAAGTATCTCAACTTTCCGATCCAAAATAGAAGGAAGCCATTAAAGCCGAGAAATCTTTGAAAAAAATAATAATAATAATAACAAGGCAAAACTTACACTCTGCTTGGATTGAGAAAATTGAAAAGAAAAAAAAAGAAGAGTGAGAAATAGAGAACACCTTTCTTTTTTTAGATAAATAATATTAATGCGGGGAAGAAGACGGTAGGAGATGCAGCCTCCTCCCATTCTCTGTTTTTAGTCTCTTTCAATTAGCGGGATTAAAATGTAGTATATTATTTAACTTATTTTTATTTTAAATTTTTTTAAATATATATAAATATTTTATTTAAATTATTTATTTAATTATTAAATTTTAAAAATTTTATTTTTTATTTTTTTAATTAAATTACTTAATTAAATAAAAATATTACCATTTTCTCTTATTTACTTTTTTTTTATCTAAATAAAATTAATATCAACTTTTCTCTACCCTTCATTTCTCCTCCTTTTCTTTACTTCTCCCCCATTCTCTTCCCCTCTACTCTCTTTTTTTTTCCTTTACTAATTTTTATCCAAACATAAATTTAGTGTTAAGCACTCAAACTTGCCCCATTAACGTATAAGCCACTAAACTAAAAAACATGCATCTAAGCCTTTAAACCCTGCAATCAATGCAAATCAGCCCTCAAATCACATCTGTCGTTAAAAGTCATCCGTTAAAGCATTTTTAAAAAATAACTAATTGCAGTTTAATCCATAAATTAGTTAAATTTCAAATAAAAATATACCTTAAACTTCAAAAGAACTAAAAAGTACTCATTTTCTACAATTTAACTTTCTTTTATTTTTATTTAATTTTGTATTTTATTTAATCCTAAAAGCATTTTATTTAATCTTTCATTTTCAGGGCGCAAAGGAGGGCTTACTAAAAACCACATACATCTTACTAATTGAACTTCATTTTTTTTGTTTTACGTGAAATACAAGTTGAATTATTCATTAAAAAAAAGGACAAGATCTACCCTTGGGGTAATCTCAATGCACAAGGTCTTTTTTTTTTTTTGTTTCTCCTCTGGTATCTGGAACTTCACCTCGACTAATTTGGATCGACCTACGTCACGCACCTGGAAATGGTTGGTAAGTCTTCCAACGAAAATTGCTGCGTACACAAGATCTTGAACTCAAAATCTTACTTAAACTGAAACAAATCACTTACCACTTGATCCAACCCCTCCTTAGTGCACAAGGTCTATTTGAGGTGTGACTTTCCGATACAAAGCGGGACAAAGCTTTTGGTTGGGTTTTCTTACTTCTTTACAAACTACTTCAGGTACCAATGACCTACGGAACAAACTCAATTTCTTTATACAAAATTTTAAATTTAAATTTTATGAATAAAAAAATAAATATTGAAATAACTTTTTTTTTATAAGATTTAATATAACTCAATTTTGAATTAATCGAAATTCAATATAATTGCTAAATATTGAAAAATTAATACTACAAAAACAAACAACTCCGGGTAACCAACAAGTTATTTTAAAAAAATAAAATTTCTTACGAACATTCTATTAAATTAAAGCTCTATTTTTTAACGAGGAATAACTGAGTTGCAACTAGCTGGACCACTGCAAAGCAAAGTTCAGAAACGGAGAGAGAAATGAAAATAGAGCTTGAATTAATAAAGCATAAAGCAAAACACCTGCTAATCCAGCAAAAAAATGCATGGTCAGCAGTGAAAAATTAAGGAAAAATATACACGTCCGCCTTCCCTTTTGCTTATTTAGAACAAGGAAAAAGAGCAGACTTGGTAGAACAGGCCCCAGTTCTATTCCTCTTTTAACACTCGAGTAACATTCAAAACAGAAACTGAAAATTCGGGTACATTGTTCTCAAAAAATGAACATTTCTGTTGCTGGCATGGCCAACACCTACTAAATTATTGATTTTCGCAACTATCAAGAACGGAACGAGTAGATGACTGATATCGATCTTTTTAAGCAGCAGCTGATTCCTTGGCAATCTTATCAGCCTTGGCAATGACCTCATCAATGCCTCCAACCATGTAAAACGACTGTTCGGGAAGGTCATCATATTTTCCATCCAACACACCCTGCAAAATCACCACCGTGTCAATGTTATTGTATAATGTGCAATGAAAACCACTAAACCAGGCCACAAATTCCAAACGCTGGTATACATGTTCATATTATCATGAATCATGGATACTTAAGACATTAATGGGTTAATGAGATAGATTTTGCTTGACAAAGAAACATCATCGTAAATCATACAGGACTTTGATAAAATCTCGTTAGAAGATACTGCATGTTTCAAGAGGGAAAGCATACTCATGCCACCAAATCAGTTTTGCTTTTCAATGGTCATTCTTTGATGTATTCACAAACTTCCAAGAGCCCAATTTTAAAGTTTCAAAAAAATCATTCCATGTTACCAGTATTCACTACTGAACTGAAAAAAAAAGACATATGGAAGGAAGCCAGATAGAGAAGAAGAAGATGAAGAAAAAAAGAGTACCTGGAAGCTATCAATGCTCTCCTTCAACTCAACATACTTGCCAGGGGCACCCGTGAACACTTCTGCAACATGGAATGGCTGGCTCAAGAACCTTTGAATCTTACGAGCACGAGCAACAGTCAACTTGTCATCTTCACTGAGCTCATCCATTCCCAAAATGGCAATGATATCTTGCAAGTTCTTGTAGTTTTGAAGAACCTTCTGCACACCACGAGCAGTATTGTAGTGCTCCTCACCCAAAATATGAGGGGAGAGCATACGAGATGTTGAATCAAGAGGATCCACAGCAGGATAAATACCAAGCTCTGAGATCTGATAGAAAGAAAACAGTATTACAGGGGAAAAAGGAAGGATATTATAATACCATAATAGAAATGTGTTTGTTTAGCAGCTTCATATAGAAATGTAACATACCTGTCGTGACAACACAGTTGTGGCATCCAAGTGAGCAAAGGTGGTTGCAGGAGCCGGATCTGTCAAGTCATCAGCAGGCACATAGATAGCTTGGACAGATGTAATTGAACCTTTCTTGGTGGTTGTAATACGCTCTTGAAGACCTCCTAGATCTGTAGCCAAGGTTGGTTGGTAACCAACAGCAGATGGGATACGACCAAGCAAAGCAGACACTTCTGAGTTAGCCTGCAGAAAGACACGAAGAAGGCAATTTAAAACACCAGTGACGAGCATACCATATGCAAATAACTTTCAAAACATTCATGATTAATAATCTTACCTGGGTAAAACGGAAAATATTGTCAATGAAGAGAAGCACATCTTGCCCCTCAGCATCACGGAAATGTTCAGCAACAGTAAGCCCAGTAAGACCAACACGAGCACGAGCACCAGGTGGCTCATTCATTTGACCATATACAAGAGCGCATTTGCTGTCAGCCTGTTATAGTGGAGAAACAACAACAAGCCATAAAATGAGCAACTGAAGTGCACATAAAAAACAGATAAAAACACAGGATACAAGATAAAGGATTACTTGCTTATCACCCAGCTTAATGACACCACTTTCAATCATTTCCCTATACAAGTCATTACCCTCTCTAGTGCGTTCTCCAACACCAGCAAACACTGAGAAACCACCTGATCACAGAAGCAAATAACATTAAATAAAACAAGAATAAACAGAATAATGACCAGACGAAGGTTTAATAATGTAGAACAAACCATGAGCTTTAGCAACATTATTGATCAGTTCCATAATAAGCACAGTTTTCCCCACACCAGCACCACCAAAAAGCCCAATCTTTCCTCCTCTTTGGTATGGTGCAAGGAGATCAACAACCTATAAAATACACAAATAAAAAAACACAACTAAATACATTTAATCCCAAATAGGCAAGATGCAGGAAGAAGCAAGGCATCAATAGCATTTAAAATATTAAATCTGAAGTCCAGTCAAACATGGATACCTTGATACCAGTCACGAGGATCTGCTGTTCAGTTGCTTGCTCAACAAAGGCAGGAGCCTCCCTGTGAATGGGCAAGAAGTGATCTGTTTCTGTAGGAACATTCAATACAATATATTAGAAATTTAGAAAAGTCACACATCATAGTAGTAACAAATTCAATGATCAAATATTTATAAGTTTCCAGCTTTCTTACTGATTTCGCCTTTCTCATCAATAGGTTCTCCAATGACATTCATGATACGACCCAGGGTAGCCCTACCAACAGGAACCTAATGAAAACATGAACCGATACTGAGGAAATGAGACGCCAGCAAGATTAACTAGGAAAAACAAACAAAATAATAACCATAAAACAAAAAACAGAGAGTCAATAATAATTAGATAATACAATGGTTGACATCCAGTGAAACCAATGGCTAACTCTTAGGTCGATAACAATCAACAAAGTCACTCTCTTTAAGGTTTTATCACCTAAATTTAAATCATCGTTCCACAGTGCAATAACACATGTAAGATAAACAAACACCGAAATAATTCTAAGCCCATTTTCATCCCTTTGGCTGTGGTTAGACTAATAAAAAAGCAACATACATTAGGAAGGAACTAAAAGCAATACATTTTAGCTCATTTAACGACAAATTTCACACATAAAGATATCACATTTCACACAGATCTATTAAACCAACCAGCATTTCCTAATCCCTAACACCAAGAACCAAATCAGAAATCCAAAAAAAAAAAAAATGCTAACTTTCTCAATCAAGTCTCGTCATTTCTCAACGAATCCGATCATAACAAGCACAAATCAGAATCTTACAGTGATAGGAGATCCAGTGTTGAGCACACGCTGCCCTCTGACAAGCCCCTCAGTCCCATCCATAGCAATTGTCCTGACAGTGTTCTCACCCAAGTGCTGAGCCACCTCCAGCACCAATCGGATCGAGTTGTCAAGCACCTCCAGCGCCGTCAAAATCGGAGGCAGTCCCTCCTCAAACCGCACGTCAACGACGGCACCAATCACCTGACACACTTGACCGATCGCACCCTTTCCAGTGAACTCATCGGTGATCTTCCCACCTCCCTTCTGGGAAACAGGAGGCTGGGACTGCGCAGGAGCAGAAGCAGCGGCAGCTGAGGTGGCATACTCAGCTGCGCGAGTGAGGAGGTAGCCGTAGGGAGAAGCGCGGCGCGTGGGGGAAGGTGAGGGAAGACGGGGGTTAGTGTTGACAGATTTGGAGAAAGATCTTCGAGAGGCAGAGCGGACGAGGGAGGAGAGGATTCTTCTAGAAGCCATTGGGATGGGCTTCGATGGAGGAGAAGGAGGCTAGCTAGGGTTCGACGAGAAGAAGCCGATGGCAGTGGGAGATCAGTATTTGTAGTAGATGGCGAGTTTATCACCGTCACCGTGATTTCAAAACGGAATATTCTGTTATTTCCATTTTTCACTTTTATTTAAAGCTCAAAACGGTGTCATTTCCATGTTATCCGGAGATAT